TTACCACGCATAGAAGAGATCCATCCGCCATTTTATTACAGGGAGTGGTTGAAGAATCGAAGAGGCTTTTATTGAGGAGAATTAAGTGGAAGGAACAACTTAGCTTGAAGGGGAATATAGCTGGTGATAATATCTGATGATAATTTTGGAGGGAAATGGGAATTTCCCCCCCAAAAAAAGCCATTCTAATCACCATTTAATGCCTACAGTCGAAACGATGGGTTTCCGTCGTGAGAGGGCGACGAACACAGGCTGCGAAGGGTATTTTGGGCATTTCGAGCGAGGTTTAAACAGAGTTAGGCCTGGGGATTCGTTTTGGGGGCTGGAAGAAAATCGGAGGCGGTTTTGAAGGTAAAAGGCACGTTGAAAAAGTCTTGGGGGGGCAGAGCACGTTTTGGGTTGTTTTGGGGGCTGGAAGCAATTTTCCCTAGTTTTTTTTATGTTTCAACTCATTATTTTGATCTTTTTCCCAATCCAGCACTTACATTAAAAGACAACCCTAAAAGTAGCCTTGAACACGACCTATGTTGTATATCAGTGGCACTATTGTAAAAAGCGGTGAATCGCGGCGCTATAGCACTGAGAATAGCAGTCGCGGGGCTTCATCGTGCCGCTTAAGGTGTTTGCGGGTGGTTTAGGCGGAGAAAACCACTATTTGCTCGAATAGCGCTGAAAAGCGCTAAATTCCGCTAAAGTAGATAATAAGTATCTCCCTGAACCCGACCCGACCCGACCCGTATCCATTACACTTAAACCCTCTCACCTTTGATTCTCAAACCCAAGTGTGCCCTAGCCGCCTCTCTCCTGACTCCCGACTGTGCCTCTCTCGATCACTGTCCAACAACGACGACTTTCAGCACCGTCAACGTCGCCGCCGACGACTTCCAGCACCGACTCTCTCACCAACAGCAACAACTCACCTTTCTCTCTCTCTCACTTCCTCTGGTCAAACCATCTCTCTTTCACTGTCTCTCTGGTCAAGCCAACAGCGCCGACTCCCGACTGTGCCTCTCTCGTTCATTGTCTCTCCGGTCAAGCCAGCTCCCTCTCTCTCCGGTCAACAAAGAGAAAAAGATAATAACTAATAAATAATAATTTAATTTCTGATGATGTCACATTTATTCATTAATACGACAAGCTTATCAATTGTTATACCTTTACTGATAATACAAGAAATTTACAACTAATTATGTGATACATGACTTTTGAATGTTATTTTTAATGAGATTCATCATCAGAAAAATTAAAGTAACAATCAAAATAGTTGTCATAGACTCATAAAGAAAGCATGAGCTCAATTATTCATATCTGATCTCACAATGTCGTATATTTAATCCAGTCATAAATGTTCGCCAAAATAGTTGTAGGTCGTGGCTTATTACTGCATGTTTATTTATTTCTTTTATTACTCTTCAATGTTGTTCAGTATAAAGGATATAATTGAATGGAAATAAACATCTTAAAGAACTTTATGTAAAATTGTCTGATTCGTGATGTTTAAGAAAATAAAAAGTTGTCGACTTTCACTAAATTAGTACTTTTATAGCCTAAAGTTTCTTCAACTTTATTGCAAATGTAATTGTAAATGTAAAGTTTATTGTAAAAAAGTTGAATATTATATGTTGATAAAGGTAAATAATAAATATTGTAATTGTAAATGTAAAGTTCTAGTACTTATATTGTTACTTATTCTTGTTCATTGAATAGGCATAATTTCAACCATTATATGGAATTGTCCTCTACAGCATCTAATCCATTGATGAGTTCTCAAAATCGAGAGTCGGGTAGCTCCTAGAGCCGACCAAATCTAGCTGTCGAGGCTCGAGCTTCGGTTCAACACCCACATCCGCGTCCTTCAGATGATATTAGATAGGATTGGGCAATTTATCCCAAATGGCCTAAGAAGAATAAAATCAAGTGCACTTTGTGCGGACATGAAACCACTGATGACATTTCCCGCCATAAAGAGCACTTAGTTGGTAGTTGGGGGAATACAAAACCATGCAAGAAAGCGATACCTGATATTATAGCGAGGGTAAAAGCAGTAATGGCTGAAAATAAGGGTAGGAAGTCAGACAAAATAAGATATGAGATCGAGCATAGGCAGGAGGTCGATATTTCTAGTTCCAGAATTGAGAATGCGGAAGAAATCACTCATATTGGAAACAAGAGGTCCCGTGAATTTGGAGCTATCCATCGATATGCTACATTCTTGCCAGAGGAGCCTAATTGGAAACAAGAGGTCCCGTGAATTTGGAGCTATCCATCGATATGCTACATTCTTGCCAGAGGAGCCTACATCATCTTCGACTATGAAGCAAACAACAGGCTATCCATCGATATGCTACATTCTTGCCAGAGGAGCCTACATCATCTTCGACTATGAAGCAAACAACAGTTGATGCAGCTGAACGCAAAAGAAGAAAGGAGTTGGTCCATGAATGGGTCTCTCTTTGGACCTATGAAGCAGGAATTCCATTTCATGCATTGATGCTCCCTTCTTTCAACAATATGTGTGAAGCTATTGGCCAGTTTGGTCCAAGTTATGTGAACCGACGATGTATCAGTTGAGGGAGCCTTTGTTGAAGAAGGTAGTATCTCGTACTTCAGTTGGGTTAGAGCCACATAAGAAGCTTTGGGAGACTATCGACTGCACATTGATGATAGATTCGTGGAGTCATGGACTGATCGAAAACATAGATGTGTTATGAACATGTGCATTCATTCTAGTGCTGGAGTTATCTTCTATAACTCGATAGAGGAGTCTGCTGAATCTCATACCAAAAATTTTATTTTTAAGTGGGTTAATTAGTGCATCCAGGAGATAGGGGCAGACTATGTTGTACAAGTTGTCACCGATAATCACTCGTCGAACATGGCTGCAAAGGAGAAGCTAAAAAGTGAGAGGTCGAAAATCTTTTGGACTTCTTGTGCGGCGCACATAACCAATCTTATGTTGTAGGACATTGAAAATTTGACAAAATTTAAGAATACAATTGAGAAGGCAAGGGCATTGACTGTTTTTATCTATAGCCACATCGTGACAAAATTTAAGAATACAATTGAGAAGGCAAGGGCATTTGACAAAAATTAGAGTTGTTTTGAAGGGTTAATCACTCACTACCTTGTTTTAATTTTCATATTCAATTGTTTATATTTAAAAAAATAAGATTGAATTTGAAGTCATTGAACAATAAATGATAAAATGATAATTTGAAAGAAATGATATTTTTATGTTTGAATGCAGATCCACACAAAGAAAAGAGATAGGCTCGATAGCAAGAGATTGAGCGATCTAGTCTATGTGCAATTCAATTTGAGGATTAGAACTAAGATGGATACAACCAGAAAGGATGGAAAGAAGAGGGACATCCTACTTGCTAAAGACGGTCGGCACGCTTCTTCATGGGTGGTGGATGAATATAACTCTGAGGAGGAAAAGGATTATTATCCAGGGGCTGACATTCCACTAGGAGTTATCTCCAAAGCAGGTGGCACAGACGAGTTCTTGTAGCCGAGGAGGACCACAAGGAGGGCGAATATGGCTTCTAGTTCAAGAGCCCACGAAGAGGTAAATTCGGAGGACGATGAGGTAACTATTGATGACTCAGACTCAGATGAGGAGGATATCCAACTTGACGATGATGATAGCAACAATGATGCTTTGAGAGATGAGATTTTGCTACTTGGCACTGCTGATGATGATGAGGATGATGACTGATGATGAGTCATTGCTTGAATTCAGACTTTAGTCAATTCACTTTTGAGACTTCCAGCTTTTATTTTGTTTTGATTTAGACTTTAAAGTGTTGAGTTTGGAGTTTGGACATGTCATGTGTTTGGAGTTTGATCTTTATTGCTTGCTTAATATCTATAGACTGTTATTATCTATCATGATATTATCTTGCTTTGCTTATTTAGTCATTTATCTATACTTGAATATTTTATTTTTTAGGTTAAATTTATAGTAGTTAATATAATGATGATGTTACTAATCAATACTTTTTTATTGTTGAGCATTTTTATATTAGAGACTTGAAAGTTAAAGAAATGAGACAAATAACAGTCTTTTTGATAAACAAGTACGTTTTTGAATTATTTAATCTTTATAATTATAGTACTTTGTTAATATTATGTAATTATTACACATCTATTTCATGTTTAGGCAATAATTATAGTACTTTGTTAATATTATGTAATTATTACACATCTATTTCATGTTTAGGCATCAAGTATGTATTTGTAGAATTTTTAATTAATATTATGTAATTATTACACATCTATTTCATGTTTAGGCATCAAGTATGTATTTGTAGAATTTTTAAATTTTTATATGATTTTTCTTATTATTTAGAATATTTAAATATATTTGTATTTGACCGCTATTTGATTGTGCGCTATTTGTAGCTATTTCGTCGTAATAGCCACAAATAGTCTTAGCGGTACCTCGCCGCGACGCGCCGCGATCCGCTATCAGCAATCTTGATCAGTGGCAATTCTAGAAAATTTTCCTTTAGGGGCGGACAACAAGAGTTCATTTACCTAAAAGTGAGTGTGTTACAAAACTATAGTATCTGGTGGGAATGTACCTAGTATATTTTATTGTTGGAAAACTATAGTATCTAGTGGGAATGTACTAGTACACTTTATTGTAGGAAACTAAATAGGTTATTACTTTTCAATGGGCTAATTCAAATTGTTACTAATTTCTTTTAACTTTTTTAGATAGCTTGGGCTTCTTCTCAAAGGATCCGCCCCTGGATGTATTACTCAATTTCAACCTTCTTGTCGGTGTCAACTCAAATTGCAATAATCTTTTATCTGATGGAAAAACTAGAATTTGTAGTTATAAGTCAGCAATAAAACAGTATAGTAACCACCATTTCATACGTTGCGAGAGTTCTACACCAAATCTAACTGTGACCATTAAATCTAACGATAATTCGAATCAATGATAAAAATAAAAAATAAAAACAATCAGAAACAAAATTCAAATATACCACTAATTCCAGACACTGTCTTCACAATCGCCTCAGCCGCCGCCGTGTTCTTCGCCTTCAAATCCCCTCGAGCTTTCATCGCCATCATCTCCCCACCACTCCCCGGCATCGAGCTCGCCGCCCTCGAAACCGACACGTCATCGGAAAACTCCGACCCCGGATCGAACCTCGAGCTCTCCGGCGAGGTGCCAAGCAAAGAATCGTTCACCGGATTATAACTCCCAATTGGGATCTGGTGGCTATCCCTTCTGAGAGGAGAGAGAGTCACAGGCACGGCCACGGGCACGGAGTTTTGACGCGGCGGCGGGATCATGACCGGAGAGAGGGAGGTGGTGGCGGATAGATCGCCGGAGGGAGGGTAGGATGATGACGTGGCGTCGGCGGGGAGGGAGAGGGACCGGGAGGGGGAGCTCGGGCGGGTCCCAGGGGTGACGAGACGTGGCGTCGGCGGGGAGGGAGAGGGACCGGGAGGGGGAGCTCGGGCGGGTCCCAGGGGTGACGAAACCGACTTGGCGAACCATCGGATTGCTCGGGGCTCGGTTGGGGCGTCGGGGATCCATTTGTTAGGGTTAGGGTTTCGATTTGATTGAGGGGTCGATTCTAGGGTTTTCAGGGGTCGGGGTTTTTTGGACTGCGGAGGATCATCGAGTAGGCGAGGATGGGAAACGGAGAAGGGGAATCATCTGAGAAGTTTACAGAAGACCCCCTCTCATTCGACAAATTGTGCTAATGCCATAGGGCTTGTTTGGATTGAGGGGAATGAGGGTGAAGGGAAGTTAGGTGAACAATTCACTTCCATTCATCTTGTTTGGGAACACTTAGGAGGTGAAGTTAATTCACCCTAGTTCTCCTTGGTTCACCCCCTAATAGTATAAAATTTGTTACCCCCAAATTGGGGTGTAACCAAGGGCGGGCTTGTTTGGATTGAGGGGAATGAGGGTGAAGGGAAGTTAGAGGAACCATTCACCTCCATTCACCTTGTTTGGGAACACTTAAGAGGTGAAGTTAATTCACCCTAGTTCCCTTTGGTTCACCCCCTAATAGTATAAAAATTGTTACCCCCAAATTGGGGTGTAACCAAGGGGAAGGGAATTCCCTTCCCTTCCCTTCACTCAGTTTCCCTTAACTTCCCTTCACCCCCTACAAATCCAAACAGACACGGCCTTCCCTTCCCTTCCCTTCTCTTCCCTTCTCTTAGGGCCTGTTTGGATTTGTAGGGGGTAAAGGGAATTTAAGGGAAACTGAGTGAAGGGAAGGGAAGGGAATTCCCTTCCCCTTGGTTACACCCCAATTTGGGAGGTAACAATTTTTATATTATTAGGGGGTGAACCAAGGGGAACTAGGGTGAATTAACTTCACCTCCTAAGTGTTCCCAAACAAGATGAATGGGGGTGAATGGTTCCCCTAACTTCCCTTCACCCTCATTCCCCTGAATCCAAACAAGCCCTTAGTTTCCCTTAACTTCCCTTCACCCCCTACAAATCCAAACAGGCCCTTATGGAAAATAACAGCACGGTTAAAATCTCATCAATGACAGTCAGATTGTCGATATCATGGGCTGTCTGAACCCTACCCAAACCCCACCCACGTTTTTTTTAATAACGATTTGTTATTTGTTTGCACGGGCTGTGCTATTTGACTCGCGGGTTGGGCAACTCGCGCCCAACTCGCAGTCACTGAGTAGGGGGGTGGGCCCCACAGCTTTGTGGGGCCTACCCCCTACTCAGTGACTGCGAGTTGGGCGCGAGTTACCCAACCCACGAGTCAAATAGTATTTTTGTTGTTTGCACTGATGGTTTTATTTTCCCCACTCCTACTTTTTTTCCCCAACTCCTACTTTTTTTTTGCCCGTAAAGAAACATCTACGACGCAAACACGGAGCACTGGACACCAGAATAAAGGCACGTAAAAGATTCTAGGGATCATCCAGAAGAACGCAAAGAATTTTTAACCCTACTATATAAGATAAAAATTCTGCAACCCAATTTCCTTCATAATAGATGTGAGCAATCTCTATCTGTCAATTACGATACATTAAAATATTGGCTTTCTCCAGTAGCGTAATATCAATTTGATCAGCGTTCCCACACTTGAGCGTCTTTATCACATTCTTTGTGTCACATTCCACGATAACTTGCCTTAGTGTGTGTTTTGTTGGTTGCGGAGGAATTGCAACTAGGGGTGCTAAACTATATCCGTATCCGAGTAAATATCCGTAACCGTATCCGTTAAGATACAAATATGGTTACTCAAATCTATAACCGATAGGATTTGGTTACAGATATGGTTTTGTAGTGAAATATCCGTATTCGTATCCGAAATATCCAAATACATATTAGTCATACTCTTACGATAGTTTCGATTCTTAGATTATGAATTTGTGGTTAATTTTGATGATCAATATGTCTAATCTTAACTTTTCAGTTATAATCGACATATTAACGAACTTTTTTGTATCACATGAACTATGTTTTTCTCAATACTATCTAGTTTTTGAAATTACTCTAGGAGGGGGGGTGAATAGGGTATATGCTAATCTAATTAGATATTAATGTCGATTTAAAACTTAATTAACAATTATCCTAGCAATATGATATACAAGTGATATATGTAAGGATAAACAAATAATCAATAGGCGATATAAACATGCAACAATGGCGATATAGAAAGTAATAAACAATGAGCATAAATAATACGTCAAGGCAAACTCAAACACACAATATGATCATGGAGTTCGGTCACCCTCGACCTAAGTCTCTGCTCCTCACTCACGAGGAGAATCTCCACTATCACAACTAGTTTTCAACGTTCACCGAAAACGTTTACAACTCACACAATTACAATCACACATCACACCCTCTAAGTGTTGGCCTAGCCCGTGTCGACTTCCTCAAGTGCTCGGATTTACAACCTCTCCCTGGGCTTTACTATCGATGCCACTTTTCTTGGAATCGACCTCGTCTCTCACTACACACTCCTCTCGGTGTACTTGTGTATTACAATGTGTTCTCACAATAAAAGCTCAAATACAAATGGTTTGTTCTCTAATAAAGATGAGAACGAAATTAAGCTCACTCTCAATGAATCACTCACAACCCAAAATATACTAAATGTGAAAATACTCAAGCTCAATGGTTGTGTGTGAAACAATAAATAAAATGTAACTGAACTAGAAGATAAGTTTAGAAAAACTTCTCTAAGAATCAAGAGCGATGGAGATGAGAAATTGAAGCTCAAATAGTAGATGAAAAGATCTCATCCTCTTGTGAAACTTTCTTCACATAAACACTTGTAAAACAAACTTAAAACACCCTTAAACACTTGTAAAAAAACTTGTTAAAAACTTTTCTTTAATATCATGAAGTGTTAAGGGATGAGAGATATTTATACTAACTCAAGACAACAGCCCAAAGACAAGGAAACATACAAAAACCCCAAAGAATTCGGGTCTGGAAAACTAGCCGTTGGCTTGCAACGGTCATCAGTTCGGTCGATCGGATGACACTGGTCGGTTGACCAAAGGGTGTCCATCGGTCGACCGAAACAAAGTTGTCGGTCGACTGAGGAACCCTGAGAAACAAAGCTAAAAAAACTGATTCTAGTCGGTCGACTGGCAAAGCTTGTTCGGTCGCCGAAAACTGACATATGGGATTTCTAGAAACTGGATTGTAGAAATTTGATTTTTAAACACCATTTAAAAATATCAAATAAATTCTAAAAAATATAAAACTTTGGAAAATATTTATAAACATGAATGTAAACTTGTTTGAAGAAGAACTTTTCAGATAGTACCTCATATTTATGAAATATTGTTGATTTGTGAAAAATGTCAAAAACACGAGTTCATAAATACTTGATTTTAACACAATAATTGTATACATATTTTAAAACACTTTTGAGTAGGCTAATGGACTTGATAAAGATATAAAATATTGTTGTTAAGTCAATAACCCAAAGCTTTGATGTTTTCTCAAAAATGTGTGTGTGAGTTGAGCTTGTAAGTATAATACACAAAGTATAAAACCTAAATTAGAAACTATATACCCAAGCTAGAAGGCCTTCAATGAGCTCGTCTTGGTTTTCGGATGAAGCACGGTATTGACTCTAACTTGAATAGCAAGTGGCTTCATTCCTATTTTTCACCGACCTCCAAGATATCGTCGTTAAGCTCAATTCCATCCAATCTCTGACAATATCCTTATTATGCTCAAATATATCCTGAATGCATATTGGATACAAACACAAATGCTAGAAACAAGATTAGAAATTGTTGGGTAATCATCAAAACAATATTAGAAATGTGGGCTCATAAACATGAGACCTAACAGTTTTCTCATATCTGTTTTGTATCTGCATGCATATCCGCTAATATATCTGCATGTATATCTGTAACCGTATTCGATTCTAGCGGATATTGTTATAAATTTTCCTTACCAAGGTATATTTGTATCTGTATATAAGATGAGTGAATGGATATGGATATGGTAAGCATTATATTCGAGCCGTATTCGGACCGAATGCATCCCTAATTGCAACTATCGGCCCATGCAATTGGATCATCTATTATCCAGCTTGCAAGTTGCAAGTGTTTGCTTTCATTTCAACTCGATGTAATAGTTGCAATAACAGTTGCAAAATATCCCTCTAGTTGCAGCTTCTGACTTATGCAATAGTGAGTGTAAATCGCACACTTCCGCTTACAACTAACCCAAAATTAATAAGAAAATAAAATCTCAAAATAATTATTTTAAATTTCAAAATATCTGAGAATTTTGTTTAAAATTTAAAATAATTTGATATAAAATATTTAAAACAGTATTTTTTAAAAAAATATATCCTAGAAGATTTATTTTTAGGAAATATTTTTTCTAAAATATAAATTTAAAAAATAAATTTAAAAAATAAATTTTCCATGAATTTTTTGAAAAATACTATTTTCAAAAATTCATTTTCTAAAAAATACTATTATTTTTATAAAAGTATAAAGTTTTAAAATATATCATTTTTAAAAAATATTATTCTCCTAAAAATATTATTATTAAAAATAAATACTATTTTTTCTAAAAAATAATTTTATTCAAAAGTTTTATTATTTTTCCAAATATATAAATTTTCAAATTAGTATAGTTTTAAAATATATTATTTTAGAAAAATTCCATAAAAATATTTTTAAAAATAAATTAATATTGTAGACAGATAAATTTAACTAATAAATTTTTAAAAGTAAAAATAAGTTGCATGCGAAAAGTTACAAGCAATAGCAAACAACTATAACTACAAGTTACAAATTTTAAAAATGTAACTAAATAGTTGTAACTGTGGTTACATGTAATAATTATTGTAACGTCTCAGTTGCTTGCAAGCGATACTTACATTGCAACTACGGTTGCAATCTACCAAACACACCCTTCCTTCTTTGTCTCGTGGCAAAGTAAGCTCCAACATCATCTCCCATAAACTCTGTTTTTTGGATTGTACAATCACCTAAATGGCACAAAAAGTCCCCATGCCAATACCTATGCCGATCCCTCAAAACTCTTCCAGAAGCCATCCTCATCGGATCGGCCATTCTCAAATCATCTCTGTTGATTTTCCACCAACCATTTCTTAAGATACCCAACTGATGAACCTCGTATCCTCACTGGTATTTATTGTTTAAAATTTTCTACTTTTGTTAATTGATTGATTTATAATTGACAAATCATTTCTGTTGA